CAGGACGGCTTCCTGCCCTACAACGCCGGCCAGCCGGGCGCCGCTCCAAACGCCCCTCCGCGCCTCCGGCCGCAGCTGCCGGCTCGGGGCTACTCCATCGAAGATCACATGTTCGACGACTATGACACGGCCGGGCGCCGCAACCTCCTCGCCGGCCGGGGCGTCGGCGGCGGTGCTGGGCGCGGCGACGAGGAGCTCGACGCCTACGACGACGACGACGACGATGACGAAGCCGGCGACCAGGACACGCCCAACGCCGCCGCCGTCGAGCGGATGCGGCGACGCCGACAGATGCAGCATGACTTTGGCGGACGAGGGGGCTACGTGCCGCCCTTTTTGGCCGAGGCGCAGGCGCAGGCGCAAGCGCCGGGGCAGCAGCAGCAGCAGCAGAACACGCCGACACGGCCGTTTCCGGGCGGCGAGGAGCGGACGCTGACCCGAGGACCGCTCCACCCCTCGGCGGCCGATCCGACGCAGCAGGCGCTCCAGCAGTCGCTGCTCGAGCACCAGCGCCAGCAGCACATGCAGGCCGAGGAAGAGGCGCAGCAGAGCGCCGGGATCGCCACGCTCAAGAGCGTCTTCCCGGGCATCGACACGTCCGTCGTCCAGCTGGTGCTCGAGGGCTGCGAGGGCGACGTCGAGATGGCCATCGACCGGCTGCTCGAGATGCAGTAGCGGCCGCCGGGTGGCAACCGTTGCCTCGAACGCTGCCGCGAGCCGGCGTCGTCGCCGTCCTAGACCGAGCGGAGGGAGTCAGGAGACCGGAGGCGGGCCGGAGGCGGGCCGGAAAAGGGCAGAGGGCATCGGGCAGGGACTGGCCCCGCCACCAGGAAGGGGGGGGGGATGCAGAAGGGGTCTTTGTAGTTGAAGAGACGGACAACGAAAGAAAGGAAGGAGGGAGGGGGGTCGAGGAGCCGGGTCGGGGTCGGGGTCGGGACGACGGGGGTCAGTGGGTGCGGGACAGGGACATGGACAGGGGGCGGGAGATAGCAGGGTGCGCAATGCGAGGATGCAACGGGAAGGGACCAAGAGGAGCCAAGTCGTGCTCGAGGCCCGAGGCGGCAGCGCCGATGTCGAAATGTGGAACCCGGAGGCGCGCGGGGCGGCGATTCGGCCCCCGCCCTGCGCGTCGTCTAGCCCTCTCTCCACGACCTTCCGCGGTCGCCCGTGCCGAGCAGAGCGCCGATGAGGTCCCTGGCCGTGTTGACAATCTCGACGGCGCGGCCGACGATGCCGCCCTCGTCCTCCTCGACGTAGTCGTGGGCCAGCGGGACGCGCGGTTCCGAGTTGTGCGGGGCGACGAGGGCGCCCGTGGCGCTCGTCCGCCTCGGCAGCGTGGGCGAGTTGGGCCCGCCGCCCGAGATGGCATCGTTGGACGACGACGACGACGACGTGGGCCGCCGCTTGCCGCTTGCCTTGGACAGGATAAAGGTGGGCGTGTTGAGCGGCGTAGGGCCGACCTGGATCGAGCTGCTGCCGCCGGGGCTCTCGGCGGTCGACGTGGGTGCGTTGCTGGGCACATTCTCCGTGTCGACGCTCAGTTCCGCCCCGCCTGCGGCCGTCGCAGCTGCCGTCGACGTTTTGGTGCCGGCAGGGTGCGTGCGTGACGGCGTGCCGGGGGCCTTGGCACCGCCCTTCTTGGCAAGGCTACCGCCCCCACCGCTGCCACCGGCGGCGGAAGCAGCACTTGCACTGCGCGACGATGGCTTGTCGTCTGACCAGTAGCTGCGCTCGTCGCCGTACATGAAGCCGTCGCCGTCCCGGTCGTGCGGCGACCGGTCATCGTCGTGCCCGTCTGGCGGCGGGCTGGCGGGAAAGTTTGGGCTCGCCAGGTCGTACGAGGCATGGCCGTCCGACGAGTCCGAGTCTAGGGCGCCTCCGCCACCCGATCGGAATGCAGACGAGCCCGCCTTGCCTGCCTTTCCTCGGGATCCGAGTCCGGCGACTGAGGCGGCCGCGGTGCCTGCTGCGCCTGCTGCAGCTGCTGATGCAACGCCAGCGGCTCCTCGATCGCCAAACTCTCGACCTGTTCCTCCAGCATACCCCTGCGCCTCTTTGCTGGCGACGTCACTGCTGCTCCGAAAGGAATCTCGCCCGCCGTCGTTGCCGTCGTTGGGGTGTGGCCCACGATGTGCATTCGGCGAGCTCGAGAGGGTCGATGCGGTGTACCGGTCGTCGTAGCTGCCGTTGACGCCGTTGGGGCTGTGCGACGACGCCGTGCTGCCGCCCGAGTTGCTCCGCGGACGGCTGGACCTCGCCGCCTCCTGAATCCGCTCATACGAGGCGGAGCTGCCCAGACGCTGCGAGGTGCGGCCACGCTCGTTCCTCGAGGCATCGCCCCCGCCGTCCCCGAAGGATCCCGTCGAGTCGGTCTGCGACGAGGCGAGCCCATCGCTGCCGTCGTTCGGCAGACGACCGTCAAAGTCGTCCTGCGCCGATGAAGGCACCGGCCGCTTCTTGAGAATGCCCCGCGGACCGACGCTGGCGACGGCGCCCGATGGCGGCTCCGCGGCAGAGGGAGCAAATGTAGTCTCCTGCGGCGCCGCTGACGACGACGAAGAGGCCGAAGACGCCGCGTCCGGCCGATTCGAGTCGCTGGTGTCAAAGTAGCTGGTGTAGCTTCGCGTGGCGTCCGGGCTGCTCGATGCGTCGCCGGTGTTGAAGACCGGCCCGCTGTCCGGCCCGCTGCCGCCGTCACCGGAGCCGTCGACCAGGTCGGGCCCGTTGAAGTAGTCAAAGTCGCCGGAAAAGTCCTCGTCGACATCCCACTGCACGCCGCGAGCGGTCGGATCGCCGGCGGTGCTGACCACCTCGGGAGCATGGCCGTAGCTGCCCGGATAGGTCGAGGCGGCGGCGGCTGCGGACCCCGGCTGCGAGTTGAGGAAGCCGGTCGGGTCGACGACGGCGGGGGACGGGGCCGGATACGTCTCGGACGTCTTGAGGCTGGTGGGCGCCAGCTTGGCAATGATGGGGTGTTCGGGGCTCTTGGACGTGAAAGCGTTGGCAGGCGAGACCCTTGGGCTCGACTTCATCGTCAGCACCTCCTCTTCCTCGCTCGTCTCGTCGTCGTCGCGGTCGTCGTCCTCCTCGTCCTCGCTGTAGTCGTCGTAGTCGGTGTCGTTGCGATCGAGCGCGATGCACTGCTCCACGCGGTGGTTGAAGCTGATGTGGCGCTTGTCCTCGGATGCCGTGCTCTCGGTCCGCGCGAGCGAAGACTGCCGCTCGTCCTGCATCGGCAGCGCGAAGCCGACCGGCGATCCGACGTTGCGCTTGGTGTTCTGGCCGACCAGGTTCGAGTCGGATTTGACCGAAAAGAGCAGCCCGCGGTTGTCCTCCTCCGCCTTGGCGTCTTCGGCCTCCATATGCGCGTCGATGGGGTTGACGTTGAGTTCGACGCCGGGCGAAGCAGCTCTGCCCGGGGTCGTCAGAAGCTCGGAAATGGTGCGGTGCTTGAGGATGGACCGCACCGCATGGCCATCGTCGAGATCAAGCCGGTCCGCCGTCGTCGCCTGCCTGGGCGGCGGTACCGGATCGGCGTGCTCGTGGAGCGGTCCGTAGAGCCAGGTCACGTCACTGTCCTTGAGCCTGTGATGGGGCATCGAAGAAACAGCACGGAGGGGGGCGAAAGGGGGGCAGGGTCGTCGCGGTGAGATAAACGTGTAAACTCTCCGTCGCCCGGCCAGCGCATCTCATCAAGAGGAACGCATTTGTCGGCGCAAAGCATGTCGACCCTGTGCTTGGCCTTCCACGATAACGATACCCGCCACCGGAGCTGTTGCACGGCTCCACCCCTGTCGCATCGCGACCAGGTCATGCACCTGCTGCATCTGATCTGCGTGCCAGTCCGCGACATCGACATGCGAGCGTTTGCCGGGTCGACACTCACCAGTTGAGAGTCTCTGGGCTAATGGTCTTCAACTTGCCTCGCTGCTTCGCCCACGTCCTCCAACTGGCGTTTTCGAGGCGGACGCCGTTGGCAATCTTGTCCTTCTGCTTCGTCATGGCCTTCCAGCTGCTCCAAACGTCCTCGTCGGTCCACTGGTGACTGAGGTAGTCGACGCAGATGCTGGGCATCTTGGACTCGATCTGCGCGTCATCGGGCGCCGGCGTGTTGTTGGCCACCGTGGGGTACGGCTGCGGTGTTGACATCATCCTGGGCGAGGTTGTCTCTGGGGGTCGGCGGGGCTAGCTGATCGGGTTTGGAGGGCCGTCGACGCAGAGAGACTGGCCAGTCCGGCAGGAGGGTTGCCGAGGACCGGAAAGAGCCAGCTCGAAGGGTGGGAAGCCCTGGAAGATGTGGTATCCGACCAGAAGACGAGCAGGTGTCGAGAGGTCGCGGGAGGAATCGCAGAAGGCGAGGACGGCCGGGCCGCTTCTACAAGAGCGAGGTCAGGATATTCGAGACGAGACAGGCTCGCCCTGGACCGTCGCGATGCGCTTCTGGGCTCTGATGAACGTCTCGTCCAAAGAGTTGACGCGCGAGGCGACGAGGGCAGCTGTCGAAGCTGGAAAGGCCGCGCTTAACGCGAATGCGCAGGGGTGGCGATCGTCTGTTCGGCGGCTTCCGGAAGTCAAGATCGATATGAGGAGCGGCAATCGCCTGAACCGAGCGGACAGGCGAGGCGAGGCCGCGGGCGAGTATACGCGCGGTGTGAACGTTGTTGCCACCTCGAGCGTGAGAGGTCGACGTCGGTGGTCGAGGACCTCGCTGCGTGTGCGAGAGAGAGTGAGGTGCCAGACGGATGGCAGCGACCTTGACGAGGTTGCGTTGATCCAGAGCGGGCAGGGTTGTTGTATGCACGTGCGAGCGATGGCGTGCGGAGGGGGTCTAGTCGCGGGCTATCGAAACGTGGATGCGCCGAAAGGCAGTTCTGCTCAAATGTATGGGTAGGGGCTGGAAGGCGATGGGGACAAAGCGGGTCGAGATGTCTAGCCGGGTCGCAGGGGTCGAGGCTGAGTGCAGACGAGGTTCAGAGAGCAACGGGTCGAGACAGATTGGGAAGCCGAGGAGAGGCGTGTCCAGTTGGCGCACCAGGTGACAAGGCGCAACGGCCGCTGATGAAAGGTGAGACGCCGCTGGAGATACGGGGGAGATGCGATGCGACCTTTGGAAGAAGGCAAGAGCGAGATAAGCTGCTGCCGCCGCCGCCGCCGCCGAAGGAAGACGAGGTTGGCGAGGTGCGAGCTGAGCTGGATCGAGCTGGGCGATGTGGTGGTCGACTGGGCCGAGCTGACTGTCGCTACTGGGGCACTTCGCGATGGTCGAAGGGGTCAGGTCGGTCGTGGGTGGTGGCGACGGGAGAAGAGGAGGAGGAGGAGGAGACTGAACGAGGCGATGGCAAGCGGCCTGGCTGCGGGGCTCTGGGTCGGGCGTGCCGCTCTCGGGCATACGAGCGAGCGAGGCTAGGCCAAGGCAGGCAGGCAGGCACGCACGCACGCAACACACGCCGCTCGACTTTGCCAGGCTTGGCCTGCCTGGCCTGGCCCAGGCCTGGCCGGGCCTTGACCGAAGACGGCGAGGGCGGGGGCGAGGGCGAGGCCCGCTCCCTCGCCTCACCAGGTAATGGGCCTGGGGGGCAACCAGGTCCAGGTCCAGGTCCCGGTCCCGCCAGGACGGATGGATTGGCCTCCCTCGCCCGGGCTCGCGAATACAAGTTTGGCGTCTGAATACGGCTTACGAGGTCGTCGAATACATTTTGGATTAGCCTCCTCGCCTGGCTTGGCCGACGAGGGAAAATCTGGCCGGCCTGGCCAGTTCAGCCAGGGTTCAGGGCCCGCGGCGCGCGCGACCGAAACGGGGAGACGGGCGAGGCTTTCGCAGGCGGGCGGCGGCGTGACGAGCGAGATGCTGGAAATCAGGCAGCAGGCAGGGTTCAACCAGCACGCATCCGCACGCACACCGCCTTGGGCTCGCTGCCTAGGGCAGGCCTGCTCGTCGCTTTCGGCGGGGCCCGACCGGCCAGAGACGTCGAGCGTGCCCCTCACGGCTGGTCTTGGGCAGGCCAGGCCAGTGGGCAACGGGGGTGCTTGGCCATCGAGGGCTGGCCTGGCTGGGGCAAGGCAGTCGGGCGTGGGTGCGAGTGTGTGGAGCGGCGAGGGTCCAGCTCAAAGGCGGGCCCAAACATGTGGTGGCGATTCCAGGTTCCAGCACCCACGCGTGCGAGGCAGGCCAGCAGGGCAGGCTCCCCCTTTGGCGCGCTGAATGACGTTTGCGAGTGGCCGGCAGGCAGGGGAAAGCTGGGGCAGGCTGATCGGGACGATCGCCCCAGTCCAGGGTCAGATCGGCAGGCCACATCCCCCATCGAGATGCGACAACGGAGCCAAGCCCACGCCAAGCAGGCCGGATCCTAGCTCCTCTGCCTTTGTCTCCGGTCGCCACACCGGCCTTGCCCGGCCGCTCTTCTTCTTGGCCGGGACGGCGCCGACGACGGGCTCGCTCCGTCGATCTCGATCTGCTGGCGACCGGGCGGGTCTCGGTCCAAGCCGCGGAGGGTTTTCGGGTCGGCCGGCGAGCCGAAGGCGGCGGCGAGAGCAAGCAAGCAAGCTCAAGCTGCTGCTGCTGATTTCCAGCGCCATGGACGTACGTCGAGCTCCATCTCCCGCACCCGGATAGAGCAACACATACGTACCTACGTCTGCCGTCCGGCCGCCGCACCAACACAGCGCTGATCTGCCGGTCGTCTCGAGTCCGGTTTCGCTGCCGACGTGACGATGTCGGAACAGAGCCTGGCCGACAGGCTACAGAGTAATTGATGCGGGAGCTCGGACCCCCGAACCTACCGGCATGCTGCCGCCTTCCCACCGTTTCAGCCGGGCGGAGACCGGTCGGTCTCTTTCGCCTCCTTAGCTTGCATCTGCGAAGCTCTGGCTGGTCTGAGAAACGGCGTGGCGTGCCCTTGCTTGGCGTGGAGCCCGGTGCGGCTCATCCGCCTCTGCGCCGGTACGTATTGCCGCCGTCGATGGAGCAACGGAAGGCCGTCGTCGAGGGGCCCAAAGCTCGAAGAGATGGGGGATCGTGCATGCTTGGTCGGCGGCCGCTGATCAACTCGACGACACGGCTGGTCGACTGCTGCGAAAGGGCCAGGGCGAGCGAGCTTTGAGCAGCGCTTCGCTCGTTCCTGAGCAGCTCCACGCAAGGGTGGAGGGCTTGACGAGTTCGAGGGCCGTCCAGGGACTGACAGCCTGCTTGGCTCCGGTTCGGTCACAACCAAGCAAGCAGATAGGCAAGCCTGCTTCCGACGACGGCTCGTCCAGACCCTGACTGGGTGAAACGGTGTTGCGGATGTGGGGTGCACGATCACCGCTCGCTCTTCGTCTCGACGACCGGCAGCAGGCCGATCGTCCCCGGCAGGTTTCGGAAGAACCCTTGTTCTCGCTATCCACACCTGCTGGGCAGACGGCGGATCCGACCTCTCCTTGGCGTTTGCAGCATGTCGGGCCGGGTCGACGCCGTGTGGTTGGGCGAAGGCGCTTCTGGACAGCTCGGCCCCCGGCGCTTTTTCTCCTTGCTCCGTCCCCCTTCGTCTCGACCTTCCAAAAGGAGCGCCGATGGCCAAAGTTTTTCGAGCCTGCAGTGCAGAAAAGGGGCGCAGCGGCGGGCGTGGAGCAAGCGAGGGCGAGCAAGCAGGCAAGACGTCGAGAGAGCGGCAAAAATCTCTCCTATCGATCTTCGAGCCTTGACCTCACCTTGCTTGCTCTGTGTTGCTTGCCCGTCCCCGCTCCTTTCCTGGAAGGACTGGTCGGCCAATTCAAAGACAAGGCTGCCCTGCGATCCAGGCCCCCGATTCTTGCATCGGCGACCCGATTTTGACGCTCTCGAGATGGCTGCCAGGCAATGTTCGAGCTTTGGTGATGGTATTGATACAACGGCATGGGGTTGCCGGGCGAGTAGTGCTACAGTCGGGGGCAAGGCGAATGAGAGAGGCGGAGTCGTCTTCGAGGTCAAGAGGCAGTGGTGGACATGCCGGAAGCAGCGTCCCAGCCGGTTCGGTTTGAATGACGAGCGGAAGATGCGAACACGCGGGCTGCTGCGGTGGCGTCCCGGAAGCGGGGATGGGGGCAAGAATGGCAGTCAAAGCGAAAGGTCCGACTGCTGCTGGCAGGGTAAGAGCATGGTCGTCACGGCGGGCCCCGTCACGTCGTCCCAGACACGCTCCTGGACCGCGATGCGCGCCGAGCGCCTCGGGCCAGCGCCAGCTCGTCCTCCAGCTGGCTGATGATTAGGTCTCTCTTTGCAATCTCGCCTTGCAAGACCTGGACCTGCTGGGCGGATCGTCGCTGCAGCTCGCCGAGTGCGGCGTGAACCTCGTCAAAGACCGGTCGCAGGCAGTCGGCCTGCACTGCCGCGGGGTGCAAGAGCAGCAGCTGGCCATGCCCATCGGACGGCGCGGCCGACGGCGTCGGGTACACGTCAGTGGGGAGTGTCGAGGCGACCGGGCCCGGTAGGGTCGAGGAAGTTGCTGCACCGGGGCCTGGAGTCGTCGAAGAAGCAGTCTTCCTCGTCTTTGTCGTGGCCAACGGGGTAGACGCCTTCTTGCGCTTGGAAGCCCGAGTTTCGAGAACAACCTCTTGTACTGTGCCTCTCACGCGGCTGACGGTGGCTACCCTGCCCTGCGAGGCCGTCTTTGCCCTCTTAGTCGCCTTCTTCTTCAACGGCAGCTTCTGCCTGCTCGTCCGGGCGCCGCGGGAGGACCGACCCGAGGTGGCGCAAAGCGGTAGATCGCTGATGCTACCCGAATCGAGGTCTGCGGCAGGGGCGGCGGAGCCAGCCGTGCCTGGCTGCGCCGTCGCTGGGGCTGCTGCTTCCTCCTCTGTGCACCCTCGACTGACAAAGTCGAGCATCTGCTCCTGCGAAAGCACGCTGGGCTCGTCCAGCTCGTCGACCTCCGATTCGGCACGCCGCGAGATCGACTCGGCTGCCGCGGCGGCTGTGGGCGGGCTGGCTCGCAGCGCGGGCTCGGCCTTGATCTGTTCCGCTGGAAAGAGGTCGCGCAAGGGTGAGGATATCTTGAGCGGCGCCGATCGGATGGTTGATGCTTCGGGCGCTGCTGGAGGGGCCGGCGAGACTGTTGCGGTCCGCGTGGTCTGCTCCTCGAGTTCGACGAGCCTGGCCACTGTCGGAGTAAAACGTAAGCAAGGAATGAGCAGAGGGGAGGTTGAAATGGTCAGAACGGGGCTGCCGGCGCTCTGGAGTCGTCGAGCTTCCGATGAGGCATGCTAATTACGGGTGGCGTCATCGAGGTCGGACCCGTACTCGTCGTCGCCGCCGTCAACATCATTCGTCCCAGGTGGCTCGGGATGTGCTGTCGAGCGAGGCTTGACGTCTCGGCCACCCAGCGAAGCGTGCCGGCTGTCAAAGTTGAACGAGGGCTGGCTAGGCAGCTTGTTGCTCGCAATCACCTGGAGTGGCCGAGGTTTCTGCGCGCTCCGCCTTGGCGACGGTGCAGATGGGTTGGGAGCCCTGGGCGGCGACGGGAAGGCCTCGACGGGAGAGGATGAAATGGTGATGGCGTCGACGCCCCGAGGTGGGCGGTGGGACTGATCGGACCCGGCTCCGGCTCCGGCGCCGGCGATGCTCACGGAGCGTGGCAAGGATGCTGCCGCCTGCGCCGCCTCGTCCATGACTGCTGGAGATCCGAGCGCCGGTCCGTCGGGCGGCGGCGGCGGCGGGCACGCATGGACGGCGTTCATTTGGGTGAGCCTGTTGGCGGATGCGTCGTCAAGGGTCGCTGGCCTAGCGAGGCTCGACTTGGCAGGCGACGCCGAAACGGGCTGTGAGACCGAGGCGTGGCGGTGGTGGTGGTCGGATGCTGTGGCTGGCCATTGATGCCAAGCTCGGTGTTGATCAGGGGATGAGGGAACGGGGAAAGGGAACGGCACGGCCGAGGTGCCAGTCGAGGCAGTCGTCGGTGGCGGCAGGGCCCCGTGCGGCTATCGAAGGCGGCCAGGGCTAGGCCAGGGAGAGGCTCGGCCGCTTCCGCACGCTCGACAGCTGAGAGGGCGAGCCAGTTGTCAAGGTTGGCCCAGCCAGACAGGCCAGCAGGCCAGCAGGGTAGGCAGGCAGGCAGGCAGGCAGGCAGGCGGGCAGGCAAGAGGGGCCTGCTCCTGGCCACGGCGAGCACTCAGCCCGGCTCGCCCAGCCAAGCCCAGGCCGCCGCGGGCACGCCCGAGAGGAGGCTCGAGCTCCGAGTGTGGAGGGAAAGCAAGGCGAGGCTAGGGCGAGCTTTGGCCCAGGGTCCCCACCGAGCGGCGCCCCTCAGCCTAGCTTAACCTTTTCCCCTGCCAGGCTGGGCCGCCCCGTCCTCCCTCTCTGTCGGGCGAGAAGTCAACAGAGCGCATTGGCCGGGGCGCAGGAAAAATCCAGCCAGCCCACCTGCCCACCAGCAGCCGCTGCCCCCCGCTCTTGCACACACCACACCTGGACCGCTTCTTGCCGCTACCGCTTCCACCCAAACACCACCACCACCACCGTCTCCGCAGCGCACCGTGCATCCCGGACACCTCCATCATCTGGCCGCCGATCGCAATCTCGACCTTCCTGTTGCCAGCGCCATAGAGGCGAACCGTCCCGCAAGCACACTCGCCTCCACCCCAGGAATCGGACGGACCGACATCGTTCGCCTACGACTAGAGCACCATGGCCGAGCTCGAGGTAAGCATCCTTCAGCCGTCGCGGTGCTTGTTGCTGAGCCCAGGGCGCTGCAGCTGAATCGTGCACTCTGGATCCTCGCCTTGGCCTGCCTCGACGACGCTAGGACTTTCTCAAGGTGCTTCAGGACACGGTGGCAGCCAACAAGCTGTCGGGCTCCCGCGTCGATCGCGTCAAGTCGACCGCCGCCAAATGCTTTCATGTGGGTATCGTCCACCGCAGCGTCCATGCCGACGTCCTCTAGCAGCCACGGCTACGCCGGCAGGCGGATCACCGTGTGGTTGAGGTCGTCTTCCACAGGCGGTTCTGGCCATCTCTCCGTCGTCCGACTTTGCGACCCAGCCGGGGACGCTCGCGCTAGATTGGGCGAGGCTGGCAAGACGAGCAAAAGCATGGGCCAGACGTCCAGCTCCTGACACGACCGCATCGCTACTATACCCACCCTTGCCTCCCTGCCTCGCAGGATCCTGCCGCCGCCAAGGCCATCCTCAAGCTCCACGCCCGCGCCTCTTCGAGCACCAAGGTCTCGTCGCTCTACCTGTTTGACGCAGTCGCCCGGCACGCCAAAGACGCTGTCAAGAAGCAGGGCGCGGGCCACGATGCCAGCGACGCCCGGGCGCCGCCCGACTCTGACGCAATCGACGGCACCAACGAGGCGCTCATCGCCGGCGCGGCCTACTTTCTCTCGCAGGCGTCCCAGGTCGCCGGCGAGATTGCGCTCGACACGATGAGGAGCGTCGGCAAGGAACAGCAGGTGAGTCTGAGCTCTTTGCCCGAACATGCGTCGCCGCTGCCGCAGCCGCAGCCCCGGTGGTTGTCATCCTCGTCGTACCGCCAACGCGGCTCGCAGCGGTCCATTGGGACGCCTGGGCGGCAGGCATGGTATAGATGGCGCGCAATGGCCTTCCCGGCCTCGAAGGCCCTCTGCTCGCCGATGGCGCATCGTCTTGGCCGGCAGCAGCCTCGTCGCCGTCTTGTTGGGAGCTCCCGATGTTCATACTCCGTCGCACCTTCCCTCCGTGTCCATGCAATCGAACCTCCGTCGCCTTGCACCCCAACGAACGCGCTTCTCCCCCAACCCGGTGTGGTCGCTCGCTCGTTCTCTCCGTCCCGTCGACGCCGGGGTGACTTGAACGCGCGCGCGCGCAATTCTGGGCCGGGCTGCAGGAAAAGGTCAAGAAGGTCCTCGACATCTGGATCCGGGCATCAACCTTCGACCACGCCATGCTCAAGGAGCTCTCGAGGAGCGTCGACCGGCTGGCGTCGGGCCAACCGTCGTCTTCATCGTCATCATCGTCAAGGCAGCGGGAGGCTTCGTCGTCGTCGAAAAAAGGTGCTTACTGCGTTTGGGGAGCCCCTGTGGCGGTGCCGCGCACCCAGACATGGAGTGTAGAGAGTTTAGATCAGTTTGCTGAATCGACAATCTGCCCCTTCCCCGCTCCTCCTTTTCCCCACTCCCTGCTCCCGCCACCTTTCTCGCCCTGCTCGCGCCCTCTTCCCACTGAATGCGCACTGATCGGCGACATGCAGCCTCGAGCTCGTCCAAGCGCAGCACGACACCGCCAACCGACCCGCGCGACGCCAAGCGCCGACCCGCCTACCCGCTACCGCCTTCGCTGCAGGGTGCCGCCGCAGAGGCGTCGACGGCAACGGCAACGGCGACGGCACCGGCGCAAGCCGGTCTACCGGCCAACATCCTTGCCCTGCTCGGTGGCGGTGGCGGTGGCGGCGGCCGCGCGGGCAACGGCAACGCGTCGCCATCGGCTGCAATGGGCAGCAACGGCAGCAACGGCGGCGGCGCAGGCGTACCGTCGAGCCTGGCCGACATGCTGGCGAGGTCGACGCAACCACCGGGTCCCCCTGCGGCGGCGGCCGGTGCGCCGTCGTTCGATCTGGGCCAGTTGACGATGCTGCAGCAATTGGCCGGACCGGCATCGTCGTCATCATCGTCGTCGGCTGGCCCCAGCGGAGCACCGCCGGGCCCACCTCCGCCTCGTCCGCCGCCGTCTGGACCGGGCGCTGCGACGCGCAGACGGGATGGACGGTCGCGCAGCCCCTCGTCGGTGCGCCCGTCAAACGAGCCGCGAGCGTCGCGGTGGTCGGATGCCGCGCCGACCAAGTCGGAAGGCGGAGCTACATCCGCAGTGCCAACTTCGCCACCATCGGCAGCGGCAGGAGGAGCGACGGCGGCGTCGGCGGCGGCGACGGCGGCGAAGACCAAGGAGGATCTGTCGACGATTGACATGTCGACATTTGATCCGACCGACGCAAAGTGCTGGGAGCGCGTGGGCGACGCGTTTGAGAACACGTACGGCTTCAAGCCAAACAACCAGCAGATTATGGCCACCGTCATGGGCTTCCCCGTCATGCCCATGGGCATGCCCATGGCGGGCATGGGGGGCATGCCGCCGATGCAGATGGGCGGCGGCCCCGGCATGGGGATGGGCATGGGCATGGGTACGGGCATGGGCATGGGCATGGACATGGGTGCGGGAGGACAGAATCAGGCATGGGGCAGCAGCGGCAGCGGCGGCGGTGGCGATGGCGTGTCAATGTCGATGCCCACGTACGGCGGTCAGATGGGCGCGGCGGCCGTTGCGCCAGGAGGTGGCGGCGGCGGTGGCGGTGGTGGCGGCGGACCGGCAGCGTGGGACGTGACGCGGCAGCGTCCACCGCACCGCCGGTAGCCGCCGCATCGAAAGAGGTGCAGCACGTAGTAGAGAGTGTGTTTCGCGGCGACGGCGGCGGTATGTCGGGCGGGGCCTCGAGCGCTCGCCATCATTGTTGTACATCTAGCCCCCTCGACTCGATGGGAAACGCTGACGAAATGGCATGGGCCCATCCACTCCGTCCCCGACCCGACCCAGTCATCACATCACCCCTTCAGACTCGCTTTCCCCGCCTCGTCGCCGACCCTGGCCCCCTTTCCCCACTTGGACACGAGCCACTCGGTCATCTCCTCGTACAGCTCGCGGTAGGCGCCGCGCATCTGCATGCTGTGGGCGCTGTCGGTAAACATGCGGAACCTCCAGCCGCGCGCGCGGGCCTTGGTGAGCATGTCGATCAGGTGGGCCGAGTGCTGGAAGTGGACGTTGTCGTCGGCGGTACCGTGGGCGAGGAGGATGGGCACGTTGAGATGGCCGTTGGCCACGTGGACGCCGGCGTGCTCGTACCCCGCCGCGTTGGCCGTCGTCGACTTCATGTAGCGCTCCGTGTAGACCGAGTCGTAGAAGCGCCAGTTGGTCACGGGCGCCACCGACATCGAGAGGTTGAAGAGGTGCTCGTTGCGTTCCACGACCTTGTTGCTCAGGTAGCCGCCGTAGCTCCAGCCCCACACTCCCATCCGTCCGGCGTCGACGTAGGGCAGGCTCGAAATCAGCCGCGCCGCCGCGTTGACGTCGCGCGCCTCGACGTCGCCCAGGTTGCCCGCCACCGAGGCGCGGTAGGCCTGCCCGCGGAAGCCCGTGCCGCGCGCGTCGATGGTGCACACAATGTACCGGTGCGTCGTCGCCAGGTACTGGTGCCAGTCTGCGCGGTCCCACTTGCCCGCCACCATCTGCGAGTCCGGCCCGCCGTAGACCTGCACCAGCACCGGGTACTGGGTGCGCCCGCTGGCGTCAAAGTCGTGCGGCCGCAGCTCCTTGACGCTCACCGCGACCGGCGACCCGTCCGGCAGCGTGGTGCCGTTGAGCGTGAGGTTGTAGAAGACCGACTGCGGCCGCACGTACTGCGACGAAATCTGGCGCAGCAACGAGTTGTCCTCGAGCGTCATCTCCCACGTCGAGTTGTCGACGCCGACCACCTTCTGGTAGGGCACGTCGGGTCCCTTGTAGTCGAGCACGTAGTAGGCGCCCTTGGGGTCGAAGTTGGCAGAGTAGTACCCGGGCCGGCTGTGGTCGGTCAGCGGCTCCGGCTCCTTGACGCTGTAGCTCGCCAGGCCCGAGGGCACGCTCCAGTCCGGGAGGTCGACCGAGTAGAGGTGGCGCTCCGCTGGGCTGGGTCGGGCGGCGGTAAAGTAGGCCCTCCGCCTGCGCGCATCGACGTGGACCAGCTCGTCGACCTCCCACGGCCCGGCGGTGAGGAAGACGGGCTCGTCCGAGGAAGACGATCCGTACAGCGCCAGGTGTCGGTATCCGAGCGGGGACACGACAATGTCGAGATACGCCGAGCCCTTGAGGCCCACGTCGTGGTGGCTCAGCGGCTCGAGCGTCTGGGCGGCGCGGATCCAGCCCTTGCCGTCCTTGCGTGCATCGTCTCGCCGGACCACTCGGCCCTCGACGTCGATGGCCTTGTCCCTCGTCGCTGCGTCGACGCCGTTGCCTTCCCCTTCCCCGCCCCGCTGCCGACGCCGCTTGCCGCCCTTGCCCAGCTGGTAGAGTACGAGGCGCATGACGTCGCTGAACCGGTCCGTCTCGCGCACGAGCAGCTCGTCGTCGTTGAGCCACGTTACCTCGGTCACCAGCCGCTCGTCTGCCACGTCCGGGCCCGTCAGCGCCGCATCGACGTCGTTTGCCGCCTTGTCTGCGCCGACGGTCGATCCGCCCGGGCTGGCCAGCACAAACGGCGTGCTGCGGATCGCCGCGCCACCCTGGCGACTGGCCGCATCGTAGATCTCGTCGAGGTCGACCATGTGCGCGCTCACCAGCGGATTCGGGTAGCCCGGCTTCGGGTAGCGCATCTTGGTCGTCTCGAGGTAGGGCGTCGCCTTGCCGGACATGAACGGATCCGGGTTGTAGACGGGGAACTCGTAGATTGGCACCTTTGTCTCGTCGAAGCGGAGAAAGACGAGCTTGCTGCCGCCCGGGCTGAACCACATGGCCGAGTCGGAGCTGAACACCTCTTCCTCGTACACCCAGTCGGGCACCGCGTTGAAGATGGTGGCGTCGCCGTCGTTGGTGATCTGGACCGGCAGCGCGCCCGGCTTGGGGATGAAGAAGAGGTTGTTGCCCTGGACGTAGGCGACGCCGGGCGTTTGGCTGGCCGCGTCGGTCCGTTGCCGCCGCAGCGGGGCCCAGGCAGCGTACGAGATCGTTGGCGGCCACGAAGGCCCGCCGCCGATGGCAGTCGTCTTTTTGTCGGCCACGCTGTGGAGCCAGACGTTGGCGTGCTGCGAGTAGCGCCACTGCTTCTGTTCGCTGGAAAAGAACATGACCCACTTCATGTCGGGCGAGATCTTGTAGCTGGTCCAGGTGAGCTTGTGGTTGTTGTGGTCGAGCACGTCCTTGCCCTCGACGTAGAGGACCTTGCCGCCGCCCTTGGCCACGTCGCCCTCGCCCAGCTTGTCCTTGCGGGCGTGGGTGACGTCCTCGATATAGATGTCGCGCTCGGTCCAGTCGACGTGGGAAAAGACGCCCACGTCGGGATCCTCGGCCGACCAGGTAAGATCCTCTCGCTGCGGCCGCAGCGTGCCGCCGAGGACAATGTCGAGGTCGAGCGGCATGAGGTCCTTGCCGTCGGCTGTCTTGAAGCTCGACACCTCGGACTCGGAAAGGCCTGTGCCGGCGGCCGCCTCGGCGACGCTGTCCCAGCCGGGCACCTCGAAGTTGACGCGGGCGTGCTCGAAGTGGGCGAGGCCCCAGTGGCCCCCGCCATCGTTGCTCGAGGCCGGGACTTTGGCAACGCCGCTGGCCGCTGGTGGCTTGCCCTGGCTGGCGTGGACAGAGGACCCGCCTGCTGTGCTGTCCACTTCGTATGGCCCCGACGACGACAGCCACTGCAACAGGGGTATGGCGAGCGCGAAGCCGGCGAGCACGCCGACAAAGACGAGGAAGCCGCCCGATGCGATGCCGCGCCTGCCCTTGCCTCGACGCTTTCCAAGGAAGAGCGAGCCTCGACGTTTTCTCGCCATGGAGCTCTTGCCATCGCGGTCCAGCTGCATCAGCCCGACCTCTTCTTCCTCGTCCAGTCGGAGCTTCCCTGTCCCCGCGTCGTCGTCGTTGGCGTCGTCATCGTCGTCGTCGCTGTCGACGTCGTCGCGTGAGGCGGTCCCCCTGCCGTTGCGACCCGGCCGGCCTGACCGCGAGTCACCACCGCCTCTTGGCGGGTAGGTCTGCGCAGCTACGTCCTCTGTGGAGCTGTCGATGGCGTTCTCATCGTCCCGATACCTCGTCGGTGGGGCGCGGCGTTTCTCGTCGTCGAGCGTGGCATCCGAGGCGGTGCGGTCCGAGTCGATGCTGTCGCCGTGGCGGTAGTCAGGGTAGGAGGGTGGCATTGGACGCGACGCCTATGGCGAGGCCGAAGAAAGGGACCTGCTCGACTTCTGCTGCCCCGTTACCGAATGTTCTCGGAAGCCCAGTTCGGGAGCGTTCGAGGTTCAGGGTGAGTGCAGTTTGGTGAGGGCTGGAAAGCGGTGCGGCAGATCTAGCTTTGCCCTTTGTCCAGAAAGCGCTCGGAAGGAGATGGCGGGGCGATGGCAGGAGTATGTGAGATAGAGGCGGGAAATCGAGATGGCGGTATCGGCGGTGGTAGCCTGAAGATGGGCCGCAGCGTCTGATCCTAGTTTCGGCGTCGGCGTCTTGAAGATTAGGTAGGTAGGCAGTTTCCGTCGAGGCCAGGATGGTGGTGCTTTTGCGGGGTGGGTGCAGGGACGACGACTTGTAAGTACAGCGAGGCGGTGGCGACGCAACAAACCAGGCGGAAAGAAGCCGGAGAAATCGAGAGTCGGGGCGGCTTGGCAAGGAAGGATGAAGTGCTGCAGGAGGGGGGAGCCAGGCAGGCAGGTGGGTGGGTGGTTAGGCCTAGGGTAGGGTTCGAGAGGTCAGGGTCAGGGTCAGGCGAGAATGGAGCGGGGCGGGGCGGAGCGAAGCGTGCGGGGTCCGTGCCAGCTCGCCCTGCCTCGCCCTCGGCCTCTTGTCATGCCACTCTGAAAGACCGCGCGGGCTGCTGCAGCCAAGGCCCCACCAAGCTTAATCGCGCGGCTTGCTGGCCAGGTCTGGTCGTGCCTTGACGCGCGGTCGTGCCTCGCCTGTCGGCAGCCCCCGGAGGCGTCCCCAAGACCTGCTGGTTGGTGTTGCCAGCATGCCCTGGCATGCTCTGGCCAGCAAGCCCAACGTCGGGCCGTAAGCTCCTTGCTTGCTTTCCACACCACCCGGTTCAATGCCCTCGATACGTCCCGGCCACTCGGCAGAGACGCAGACATCGGTTCCTGGCCTCCAGCTGCCTTCCAAGCCCGGCAACGCGGTCCACGCGCCTGGCTGTAGAAACACACATGGCGAGCCGTGCCTCGCAGCAGGAAGGACATCCCCACGACGATGGATGAGCGACTGACTAGATATTGGGTATGCGATTCGATCCGGCTGGCCATCCCGCCCGAAAACCTCCAGGAAATCCCCCATCCCCAAGATCAGTGTGGCTGCAGTACGTGGTAGCTAGGAAGCAAAGGGCCTGTGCCTAGAGAGAAGCTGAGCCAGTCCCTCGAAACCGGAGCAATTGAAACTCATGTCTCGCGCCCGCCCGAAAGACACGACATGAAGTCGGCTGGCTAGTATCAGGGCCCGGGGCCAAAGGGCAAAAGATAGGTGAGAGGAGGCCCTCGTCAGACGAGCGAGGTGCAAGAGAAGGAGAGGAGAGGTGGGGCGAAGCGGACCGAGGTCAAGCCGGCAGCTTTTGACGATGGCCACCAGAGATCGAAGATGGGCTCGCCCTCGTCTAAGGGCGACGTTTAGACGACGGCGAGCCAGACAGCGGGCGGAAGAGAAAAGGGCTGGCGCTGTGTGCGCGGGGTATACGATGCGAGCAACTCCGGGTGACGCCGCACCCAGTCGAGCTCAGCGGATGTCGATAGGACAAGGGTCGAAGGCAAGGTGCAAGGAACGAAGCGGCGACGACAACGACGGAGTCGACCTCGAGAAAGCAGACGGCTGCGGCCGCCGTCGGCAGAGCCTAGCGCGGCCCAACCAGGCCCTCACACCGGCGACTTCCGCTTCATCAGCCCGGGTGAGACCAGGGGGCCCTGCATGCCTGCCTGCTGCACCAGCACGGGCGTGCCGTGCTGGCTCGGGCCAGAATTCGACGCCGTCCGCTTCAGTGGCGTCCTCATTGCCTTTGCGTTGGGCCCATCGCCCTCGCCGCCGCCGCCGCCGCCGAAGAAGAAGCCCGCCTCGTGCGTGCCCGCCGAGAACGGCGGCTGCACGAAGCCGTTGCCTTGGAGGTAGGGCGACGTCGGATCAAAGGGCCCAAACTGGCCCCCATTCATGGCGTTGGGCGCCGGTGAGGGCGGCAGCGGCGTGTTGATGGCCGCAAACATGGCCTGGTGCTGCGGCGTGAGCGGCGACGGCGGCATGCTCAACGGACCAAAGCCCGCATTGGCCGCCATCAGGCCGCCCTGCGAAGACGTCGGCGAGATGCCCTGGTGCACCTGATGGTTGGGAAACAGCGGGCCGCCCCCCGCCGCCGCCGACGTGTCAATGGCGAGACCCGCCAGCGGCGCCTTGCTGAACGACGGTCGGTGCCCGCCGTACTGTGGGGGCAGCATCTGGCCCTCGAACGACGCGCTCCGCTGGGGCGGGGGCGGCATCATGCCCTGGTCCGACAAGCTGCCGTGCCGCATCGCCATCAAGGCCTCGTTGCCGCCCGGTGCGCCGTGGCCGTGGGCGCTGTTTGAGCCGTGCGACACCCGCCGCGAGCCGGGCGCGCTCATCGAGAACGGGTCCTGGCCGACGCCGGCGGCAAACATGGACGGGTCGGCTGCGTTGCCCGCTCCGAACGGGCGCGGCTGCTGGCCGGCCAGCCCAAACTCGGGCTCCGTGACAAAGATGGGCGGGTTCTCGTGCAGCTGCGGCGTCCACATGCCCGACGGCGGCATTGGCGAGGGCATCTCGAGCGTGGGGATGCGCACGTCGAAGGGAACCTGGCCGCCGTTGGACTTTTTGATGTGCTCGAGCACGACGCCGAGGACGTCGCGAAGCTGCACGCTGAAGCTGCGCAGCGCGGCGTTCTGCTCGGTGAGGTCGTCGAGCCGGTACGACATCTCTTCGACCTGCTGGCGCAGCTGCATCTGTCCCACGCTGACGCTGTACTGGAGGTCCCTCGCCTCGACCCGCGCGTGCTCCGAGTCGAGCGCCTTGCGCCGGATGTCGTCGAGCAGGTCGGGCCGCCCGCGCAGGAACTTGGGGTGCGAAAACTCCCAGATCTGCGTGTCGACCGACTGCCGGTGGCCGCGCGGCGTCTTGTTGACCTTGTAGAAGCCGTACATGTTGAGCTGCCGGATAAAGCTCGAAAAGTTGCTGTGCTTAAAGTGCTTGCCCAGCACCTCCTTGGCGAACTCGTCAAAGTTGCACACCATGACGCTGGTGCCGTTGCGGTTCCAGCTGATGAGGTGTTGGTAGTCCTGATCGCTGACCATGCGGAAGAGCTTGTAGACGAACTTGCTGCTCTGCCGCTTCTCTGCGGCGAGGTCGGCCTCGGTCTGGCCGCCCAGCAGCTGCGGGTCGTCGACCGAGACGTCGCCCTCGGCGGCGAGGTTGGGCATGCCGAGCGACTGCTGCTGCTGCTGTTGTTGTTGCTGCTGCTGGGAATAGTCGCTCTGGGTGCCCAGCGTCGGCACAGAGGGCTCACGCTTGGTCGATGGCTCGCCAAACGAGCGGCTGGCAGCGTTCGAGGCACGGCCGCCCATCGGCCCCTGGGCCGGCTTGGACGCCGGAGAGCCTGCAGAGGCGGTGGTACCGTTGGCGTGGAACGAGGGCGACGGCGGCATGCCTGCGCCGTGCACGTCGGAGCTGGGCGAGGCGCCCACCGAGTGGGGCGACGACGCCGCCGGTCCTGCCGCTCCCCCTCCGCCAAGCATGAAATCGTTCTGCAATCGCTGGTGGGACATGTGCGAGAGACCGCCGAGCGGATAGCCCGATGGCTGGGTCTGATGCTGGTGCTGGTGCTGGTGCTGGTGATGATGCTGGGCGACAAACAGGTCGTGCTCGGACGAGTTGTTGACCGAGAGGTTGGAAATGTTGAGATGGAGATTGCCGCCCGACGAGCTGGGCCTCATGCCCGCCTCGCCAGCGTCGAGGCCGCCGAACGCGTCGGCAGCGGTGGTGATGGTGTTCGGGGTGGTCGGTGCGCCGTCCTGAGATCGGGCATGCGAGAGCGACGAAGACGTTGCGGGGGAGTGCGGGTTGGACGTGGCGACGAGGTGGTGGTTCGAGGGCGACGAGTTCGACGTCGGTGCCTGCAGGAATGCATCAAACGAAGAGTCGAAGCTCTGGTCTGGCACCTCGATGGCGCTCATGCTTGGCGTCCGAGCCGACAGAGCGGGTGCTTGCGAAGGCGCTGGCCGCGGCTCGCGCACAAAAGCCAGCAGGAGATGCGGAGCTGCGATATCGCGGTTCTCGAGGAAAGGAGAGGAGAGACAGGAGCTAGCGGCTGTAGCACGCTACCCGGGAGAATCTCGCTCCAGCTTCCTGTAGCACTTCTGCACTGCCGCAGCTGCCGCCCGCGCAAGACCGAGGTGGCACGGTCGCTCGATGATCGGCCGACCGCGGTGCTGAGGAGAAATGCCAATGGAAGGCGGGTATGCAGCGATGATGAGGCGTGACCGGGTCGGCGGTCGGCTGTCGGCGGTCGGCTGTCGGCGGTCGGGTCCGGGGTTGCGTGGCGTACGAGGATGCAGATCCGCCGATGCCAAAGATGTGCAGGGTCAAGTGCCGGTCCAGAGCGCGCGGCTTAGGTGGCACGAGAGCGTCACCAGAGAAAGGCGTGGTCGAAGCAGGAGGCAGTCGAGACGGAAGAAGGAGTGAGGCGGACGAAGATGGTAGAAAGGCGAGGGTGTGGAAGAAGCGAAGACGCAGAAACGAAGACAAGGCGAGGGCGAGGAGGAGCCAAACGAGGCGAGGCGAGACGAGGCGAAGTCGAGGTGAAGATGGAGATGGAGAAAGGGGGTTGGCAGAGCACCACCAATGGCGACGGCGGCGACGAAAGCAGATGTCGAGATGAGCAGAGAGGCTGCAGAGCACGCCTGCCTGCCTGCCTGCCTGCCTGCCTGCCTGTCTGTGCTTTTCCGGGCGGCGGCGACCTCGGGCGGAGCCAGAGGGAGAGAGGGGGGCGAAATGGCTCGACGCGGGGGGGAGCGGGCGACAGAGGCCTGGTCAGGCCTGGCCTGGTCTGCCTGGTCTGAGCGGGTTGATGGGCGGGCGGGCGCACGAGGCTTGCGTCGAGGCAGGCGAGGTGCCTGCGTTACGCCTCCTGCTGCTCCTCCTCCTTGAACGCACACGCACGCAGGCGCAAAAAAACAGGCAGGCCAGCAGGGCGCAAGCAACGGAGGGGTACAGTTAGAGAGCGGCGCCCGCACGGGCGTTGGACGGTCGGGCAGGGCAGGGCAGGGCCCGTGTTTGGCCAGAGGTCGGTGTTGCTCTCCCTGCGCGGCGCCACCTCTCGCTCGCGCCCTCTCGCGCCCGAGGCCAGGGTACGGTGCGTCTATCTGGTTGGATGTGGCTCGCCAGTCGCCTGCCCCCGACTGCTCGCCCTCCTAGCCTGCCCCCCTCTTCTGCTGCTGGTGTCCTAGCCTGCCTGGTGGTGCTGCCTGGTGCTGCCTGGTGCTGCAGCAAGGCGCGGCGCAGTCTCGGCGCAGGCGCCGCTGGCGAGACACGGTACGGTACTTACGGTGCGGTACCACGATACGGCGGTATGGGCCGGAGCGAGCTCGGGAGGGCTGGCTGGACCCGCACGCACGCACGCACGCTCGTTGAAGGGGAGAGGCAGGTCTCGAGCCCGACCCGGCCGGTTTCGTCGCCTGCCCCCGCACCGCTCGCTCGCAGCTCGCCTGCCTGAGCCAGCCTGGCTGGAGCTGAGCTGGGCCGCCGGCTCAGTCGGGCTCCGAGAAACCGGCAACCTCCGCCCTTCCGCCCGTCTTCGTTTTCCGTCCAGCAGCGCAGCACGCAGCTCCAGCGCGGCGCGACACCACCCAAGTCAAGGAGCAAGCAGCCGTAGCGGCCAGCCACCACCACCGCTGCCGTCATCGTCGTCGAGATGCGATTCGTTGTTGTATACTGTACAGTCAAGGGCCAGGACGAATGAGAGGGACAAGAGAAACAGCGAGGGTGAACGAAGGGGGTGCAGAGGAGAGGGGGCGGGATGGACGAGGGAGCGGGAAAGAGAGAGGGAGACGGGAAGCGCAGCCCGGTATGGCCACCTTGTTCGGGCAGCCGGGGCCGGTCGGCTTAGACGCGGCCACGCCACCGATCCGTGAGGACAGGCTGGAGCGGGTGGTCGCCTACGTCCTGAGCCGTGCTCGACGCCGGGCCCTCCTCGGCGCGCCGACGATGCGGCGAGGGCGAAGAGGGCGACGAAGGAGAAGCGGGCGAAAAGATGCCGATCGGATCGACGCGGTCAAACCTGCCCGCCATCCTCGATCGTGGCGGCGACGGCGGCGGTGGCGACGAGGAGGACGACGAGGGTGCCATCGCGGACGATGTATGCGCCGCCGCGTCGTCGTCGCCGCCTTTTGAGAGCCAACTTCGCCAGCTGAGCGGCAGCAGCGCCAGCGGCGTCGGCAGTGAGGTTGAGGATGAAGGTGATGGTGATGGTGATGGTGGTGCGTTGGAGTCAGGTCCAAGCCAGCCTTGGGATGGACGATCCTCGGAAGGCGTCGTCGAGGGCGGTCTTGGAGCAGCAGCGTGGCCATCGTCCGATGGCGGCGACGACGAGCGACGTGGAAACAGCCACGACCATGGCCACGACGGCGACGGCGATGGTGACGGCGACTGCGACTGCGAGGCGGGGAAAGGGTCCTCGGAGGCGTGGTGCGGGTCACGCCCGTCCCGCTGCCTCTGCCGCGCCTCCCACTCGGCCGCAGCGCTCTGCTCGACCTCGAGGACCTTTCGGTTGATCTTCCGACCAAGCTTGGACCTGACCGCATCCTACGGCAGCGGCTCGCTGCTCGACGACAGCCGGTTGAGGTGCAGGTAGACGTCGGTGCCGTACCCTTCCATCGAGATCAGCTTCAGGTCGCCGCCAAAGTAGCGCGCGTACAGCCTCGCCAGCGGCAGGCCGTAGCCGAAACCGGCCATGGGCGCCTTGAAATCCGACGCGCTAAACTCGGGATCTGCGGTGGCGGAGAGGCGAGGAAGAGGCAGGCACAGAGCAGCGCGCACAGTCAGCTTCGGGGTCCGCCACTAGCGATACAGGCATCGACGACGGAAGGCGTCGGGTCGATCCGGTCAACTCACCGAGGTCCTCGGACTGGGCCGTCGTGTACATGTAGGTCCAGACGAGGGGCATCTCGCTGCGCGGGATTCCGCCGCCCTCGTCGCTGATCTTGATGGTGATGTCCTCCTTGCCCTCGACGACAATGACCTTGATGGGCGGGAAGTTGTCCTCATTCTCGACGCCGTACCGCTCGACGACGGCTCTGAGCGAGTTCTTGAGCAGCTCGAAAAGCATGTGCTGTGGACGACGGTCGGCGGGCAAGGCAGTAGAGCGCAGCGGCGCAGCGGAAGTAGGATCGCGTGGCTGTCAGCTGACGGGCTCACTCCGGCGTCCGATCGTCCGCTTCGGGGGGATGCACGCTGGCCCCGGGCTACTCACGTTGAGATGGCTGGGGACATACATAAACTCGAGGTCGTCGGGGCAGACGAGCTGGACGGGCGGGCCCTTGAAGAGGCCGTAGTGCTCTTCGCACACGAAGCGCGCGTTCTCGATGGCCTCGTGGGCCATGGCGCCGACGTTGGTGTTTGTGCAGATGATGCCGACGTACTCTTCGCCGTGCGGCGACCCGGCGCTGCGGGCAATGTCGTTCGAGAGGCCGACCGAGCCGCCCTCGAGCAGCGCCGACGACGTCGTGGGCGACGTGCGGCTGAGGGCAATGTGCTGGCCGATGAGGATGCGGATGCCGATGCGCGACATGTAGAAGCGGTCGAGGAAGCTGTGGACGTCGGCCTGGATCGTGTTTGCCTTTCTCGACCGCTTGTACTCGAGCACGCCCTGCGCCACGGTCGTGACGACGGCGTCGTGCCGCTTCTTGATCTTTTCGAGCGCCTTGGTAAAGTCCTCGTTGTACTGGATGATCTCCGGCGGCCACTTTTGGTCGGGAAGGTTGGCGTAGTACCGGTGCTCGAGGATGGCTCTCCGCTTGAGGCTGGCGCTGCGGCTGCCCGACGAGGAGCCGTTGCCGCTGCCGTTGCCGTTGGCGCCGTTCCTGCCGCCATTGCTGAGCGCGACCGTGCCGCCGCTGCCGTTGCTGCTGTGCTTGCCGGATCCGTCCCAGCTGGAGCTGTCCGCTGGCCCGTCTTCGATGGCGGCCGAGTCGAGGAGGCTCGGGTTGGGTCTCGACTCGGGCAGCGGCTCTGCTGACTGGGCCGATGCGGCGAGGGCCTTTTGGACCGACTCGGGCAGCTTGGGCTTGGGGAAGTTGACGAGCTCCTCAAACGACTGGGCGTACCAGTTCTTGACCTTGACGATCGAGGGCATGGTGCCGAGCTCGTGGGGCAGCTCGTCGAGCTCCTTTACGCGGTGGGCGAGGCGGATGGGGAGCTCCTCGGCCAGAAAGCTGCCGGCCTGGAGCACGGTGCCCGGGTTGGGGTTGCGGCCAAACTGGACCATCTGGCGCAGCGAGATGCCCGTCTGCTGGAACGTGGCAAAGTGGTGCAGCTGCGACCATAGCCGCTGCGAGATCTGGTAGCTCATGGTGGGTGGTCGACGACGGAGGCAGCCCTAGAGCCGGCAGGCAGGGCTGCTCGCAGTGGATGCGCAGGACGAGGCGGCGGACCTCGGCGAGCGGGGCAGAGAGTCTTGGGCCGTGGAAGGAGGCGCGAGCTCGTAGCAGGTCGCGAGTGCCCAGGTGATCGTAGCGATGCGGTCGGCAGTCGCAGTCCGTCGCTGCCTTCGAACAGCAATGCAGGGTGAGCGAATGTGTGCTGGCCGAGGGGACGTTTCTCTCGTTGCTGGCGTGTGGAATCGTTCGTCACGGCGTTCGTCACAAAATGAAAGGCAGAGAGGGTGGAGCGAGGCCGGCCAATGTTCGGAAGGGAATGCGGCGAGGAGGGCGAAGGTGATGGCGGTACGATGTGGGGATACGAGTACAGGGAAGTGTCGAGGGAAGTGTCGAGGAGAGAGCGAGTCATCCGGATGGGGGGCCAGCTTGCGTTGCAGGTAGGCCCGCTCCCCGCCGACCGGAGCAGCCGGTCGCAGACGACCCGGCCGCACCCACCACCGCCCACCGCCGCCTTGCCCTGGGCTCAACGGCCGCTCGTCTGTCGGTCGATGCGGGGATGCCTGGCAGGCCCCTTCTGCTGGCCTGCTGCCCTCGCCGCCCTGCGTGTGGGGGGGACGCTGGCGCGCGGGGGGGACAGCCAGCTAGCCAGGCCAAGGCGATTTCACAAGGCAGATGACCGAGCCACGGCGAACATCGGGGAGATCCCGATTCGATTCCCATTTCATTGCTCTCGATCCCGATCATCAGCTCAGCCACCGTCAGCCACCGTCAGCTCAGCTCAGCTCCAGCACTCCTCCTGCCACCTGCCTCGCATCTCGAGGGCATCGACGAACCTCCTCGCCTGGTCGTCGTCCATGCCGCCGTGCTCGCGGCACACGCCCTCGAAGGCGTCGCGCACCTGCTCGGGCATCTTGCCGCTCGACCCAGAGATGTAGACGTACCCGCCGCGCCGCGCCACCATGTCCCAGATCCGCGCCGAGTGCCGCGCCACCATGTGCTGCACGTACACCTTGTCCTCCTGGTCCCGCGACGCCGCCACCTCGACGCTCAGCGCCAGCCGCGCGTGACTGAGCCGCTCCGTCAGCGACGGCGGCGGCGACGTCGATGATGACCGTGCCATGGCCGATCCTTGCCCATTTGCGCCTGGTGACGACAACGAGGAGATAGCATCGAGCGACTGCCACTCGTCGCCGAACAGCCAGTCCTTCTTCCTGAACCGGCACCCCGTCACCAGCAGGCACTCGCCCGCTGGCTTCGCTCTTGATGCTTGTCCGTCGTGCACGTCCGCGCCGCCACCTTGCGCCGCCGCCAGGTACGCCTGGTGAATTCTGGAATGGAGCAGGCTCCTCAAGGGCGCCACGCCGGTGCCCGGCCCGATGAGGAGCAGAGGAGCATCGAGCGAAGGGGGCAGCCGGAACGTGCCGCGGCTGATGCGGACCGGCAGCGTGGTGGGTGTGGCAAGCGTCGAGAGGTAGCGCGAGCAGACGCCCCACCGCATGTCGTGGAGCCGCGTCTTGTACGAGACCAGCGCCACGGCCAGCGTCACCTCGCCCGGCGTCGTCTGTCGCGACCCGCGCAGCCATGCAAGGACAGAAAAGCGATGAATGATTCGTCAACACGCCATCACTCCGGACACACCACGCGCTGCCGCCGCCGACGGCTACTCACCTGGGGGCTACTGGCGATGCTAAACGCCCGCTGTCGCATCAGCGGAAAGAGCTCCATGACCCACCGCGGCTCCACCTCGACGCTCTTGAACTCGTACAGCACCTCGGCCATGGTCCTCCGGACGCGCTGCGCGTACTCGTACATCTCGTCGGCGCCCTCGCCGGGCGAAACAAACTCGTCGAGCTTTTCGCGCTCCAACCCGCCGGGCGGCGAGAAGCGGCGGATGAAGTCGAAGAAGGAGCGCCGCGGCACCGAAAAGGGGTCGAGGTGGTGCGTGAGCAGCGCTCGCAGCGTCGTGGCGGTGCTGCCGCCGAGGCTGTGCAGCGAGGCGGGCAGCGACTGCGATGGGTTCGAGGCGACGAGCTCCAGGGGCGTGTCGGCGACGTCGGACCAGCCGAGCCGGGTGAGGAGGCGGGCGACGTCGTCGGCGGGGTTCGAGGGGAGGAGGTGCAGCACGTCGCCCGCCTCGTACTCGAGCGGCGTCGAGGGCGAGGCCGAGGTGAAGGTGAGCAGCCGGACGTCCTGGAAGTGCGACGGGTCCGTCATCCGCTCGTTGCGCGTCAGCCTGGCCCAGGTCATGCCTGGTGGTGGCGGCGGAAGCGGCTGCGGCGGCGATGAGCCTTCGTCTGCGCTGCTCGCCCTCGTTGGAGCTGCCCCGTTCGGCCCGTCGGTCGTGACTGCAGTTGTCGAGTCCTCGAGGAAGCGAATGCCGATGCGTGGCGGCAGCAGCTCGTCCTCGGGCACCTCCTTGACACCTGGTGGCAAAGGCAGCACCTCGTCGAGCTTGGACCATAGCGTCTCGAGCCAGGGCAGGAAGGTGCCCTCCATGCTGCCGTTGCAGAGGAGTGAATTGGGATCGCGAGGGAGGGTCAGCCCAGTGCCGCCGATATCACATGAAGGGTCGGTGATCCCGACGCGCCGCTCACCCAAGGTAGTGCTGCTCGTCGCCCTCGCCGTGCTCGACGAGCTCATCGGCGCCCAGCGCGGCCAGCCTCCGCCTCAGCATGCGTACGGGCCAATTGAAGCGCGGGTAGGACGAGTCGCCGCAGCCGAATGCGGCAAACGAGAGGTGGTCGAGCGCATCGTGCGCGAGGTCGGAGCGGAGCAGGAAGCGCCAGAAGGAGCGAGCGGCGGTGGGGAACTCGCCCTGTCCCGTGACGGAGACGACGAAGACGACGAGCGACTCGCCGGCGAGCGAGAGCGGGTCGTAGTCGTCGAGCGAGCAGAGCGTGAGGCTGTCGAAGCGCTTGCGCTGCAACTGGGCGTAGAGCGTCTCGGAGAGCGAGAGAGAGGTGCCCGTCTCGGTCGCGTAGAGGATCGTCGCGTGCCGTTCCGGGATCGTGTCCGCTCCTGTCTCGAGGTGCTGGGCTGCAGACAGCGATGAAGGCGACGACGATGATGGGGCTGCCCCTACCCCTGCCCCTGCCGCTGCCCTTGCCCTGGCCGTGCCGTTGCCCTGCGGGTCGGAGAGCTGGAGCGTCGAGAGCGTGCTGCTGGGTGGGTCGTGCTGCTGCGACATGATGTGCGTGTGCGTTGCAAAGCCGGAATGGATGGTGATGGCGATGGTGGTGGTGGTGGTGGCGGGAAGGGAGGGAAATACGTCGAAGGCAACTTCTTCCTGACTCGATGTGAGCCCCTCCTCAATTCGCCGGCCAAACCGCCGGCAGCGACGCTTATCTGATTCGAGCGGCGCTCGCCTCCACCTCCTTTCCACGACGCCGCGCCGCGCCGCGCCACTGAGCGAGCCCTCGAGCAGCCACCAGACAAGCAGAGGTAGAGTTCATTGCAGGCGAGCAAGCAGACAGACAAGCAGATGGAAGGCTACGTACCATCGAGTCGACTCGCTCCGCAACAGGTCCAGGTCATCCCTTTGGGTGCCGCCCACTCAGCGTCCTTGCGACCCAGCTCCGCCGCCGCTGCCGCCGCCGCCACTCCCGCCGCCTGATGCCACAGCAGTCTGTGCCGCGACGGCGGCCGTGGGTCCGGCTGCCTCGATGCTCGCTGATGCTGGCGCTGCGACGGCCGGTCTGCCCGCTGTAGGCGAGCCCTCATCGCCCATCATCGCCATCTTCTGCTCGCCCACCGACGACGGCGGGGGTGGCCCGGCAGCCATCGGCTTCCTGTTGACCGGCGCTGCCCCCTTGGTTGGCCCGTTCGGCCTCGTGGCGGCGCCACCCGCGTGGCCGCTGGGATGGTGCGGTGCTGCGTCCTGTGGCGCAGGAGCTGCGGCTGCATGCTTGCTGTTGGCCTCGGCTGCCGACGAGGCTCCCCGACCAACGTTCGGTGGCGGTGCGGCAGACGCGGTGGTGGGCGCCTGTCGACCGGCGTCGCGGCCCTCGTGCGCGGCGCCGTTCTGCGTCGATGCCGTTGCCGGCGGCGGTCGAGCTGCGCCTGTTGCCGGCGCCGCTGCTGCTACTGCTGCTGCTGCTGCTGCTGCTGGGACTGCTGTAGAAGCCGCTCCTGCGCTTGCTGCCGCGGCGCTCTGCTTAGCCGCCCCCCCCTTTGCCCTGCCGCTGCTGCCACCGCGCGCCGATCCACCCCGCCCACGTCCGCTCCCGCTGCGTTCGAGGGCCGCGCCCGCCTCCTTGTCCTGCATGCCCGATGTAGCTCGGTCGGCCTTGCGGCTGGTGCGGTTCCGCGGAGAAGGCGACGCAGTGGTAGCACCCGCCGCGCCGCCATGTTGCCGAGCCGGTCCATGCGGCGCTTGCTGTGGCTGCGGCGGCTGTTGCTGCTGCTGCTGGTACTGCTGCTGCTGCTGCTGCTGCTGATGGTGAAGATGCTGCTGTTGCTGCTGCTGCTGGAGCTGCGCCTGGGCGATGTGGGGCGGGTAGCCGTACATCTCCGGCGGGTACGGCGATCCCAACGTCCGGCCGTGGGCGTCGACCAGCTCGTGGTGCGCAGGGAGGCGGTGCATGAGATGCTGCTGCTGCTGCTGCATATGCGCATGCTCCAGCTCAGCCGCGACATAGGCGTCGTAGCCATGGATGGGCGGGCCGACACCCATCGCAGGGTGTGGCATTCCGGCCCGGACGGGCGTATGCTGCGCGGCGGGGTCGCCTGGCGCACCGGGCATCCGCATAATCCCGTAGCCCCCTGGCCCAAAGGAGCCGGGAGGCACACCCATCTGTGCCGCGGCCGCCGCCGCCGCAGCAGCAGCGGCGGCAGCGTCGGGACCATACATGGCGTGGAGCTCCGCGTGGTGCATCTCGGGGGGCACGCCTCCGTAGAACGGGTCGTAGAGGGCCGCCGCCTGGGTCTCGGCAGGTCGGATGCCCATGCGTTCGATGTCCATCCAGACGTCGCCCTCGCTGAGCCCTCGCAAGTCCGGGTAGGCGACAAACTCGTTGGCCGCCTCGCTCTCCTCGGCCACGGCGCGGCGCATGGCGGCCGTCTTGCGTTTGCGCGCGGTGCCCGTCCGCTCGTCCTGCTCGCTGTTGGCCGTGCTGATCATGGGAGCGTGCAGGCGGTCCGGGTTGCGGACAAGCTCCGTCTCGAAGACTTGGTGGCGTCGTACTGTGGGCGAGAGAGAGCGCGACGACGACATGCGCAAGGCGGCGATGAGAATGCGGGTCAGCAGTGAAGTTTGCGGACAAAGTCGAGGGGCCGATGGTCGCCAACTTACCGGGACGGGGTGCGTCGAGAGACCTCTTCTCCCGGTCGAGCTTCCGCCGCTTGCGGCTGTAGTCGTCCATCGTCTCCCTGCGCAGCGAGGCAGAGCTCGTCTGTTTGCGGCACAGCGCAAGCGTAAGGACGGGGCGTTCCAGGGAACCAGACGTCAGTCTCGTGCCCAGTACTGAAGGGACAGATCGCTCACGCCGACTCACCCTCCATACGCTCCAGGCGGTCGACTCTTCCGCCTTGGCCACCCTCTCGTACTGCGCCTCTTGCTGCTCGAACCACATCTCGACGAGCTTCATGCGGCGCTGCCGCCGCAGCTCGATGGCGTTCGTGAGGTGCTGCAGCTCCGGGTGGGTGCCTGCGACATTGATCCAAACGAGATGACAGAGACGTCAGTCAAAGATGCACTGACCGGGCGAGTCCGCCCTCGATGTAGGGGCAGGCAGTCGCGCACTCACCATCGGCGATCATGTCGCCCTCTTTGGAGATCTCCTCGAGGCGCTCGACGTAGAGACGGTCCCGCAGCATCGCAAAGCCAATCTCGATTTTGGTCAGCGCCTCCATGGCTTCCTGTCGGCGGATGGCGGCCTCGTCCGTCGACGTGTCTGTGCAGCAAAGACGCGTGGGACCGTCAGTAAGGCAAGAACGCGTCAGGATCGATCCCAAGCATCCTGCGATCCACCCGCGCGCAACGGCAGACTTACCTTCTTCCTGCTCTGCGACCTCGTTGGCAGGCGTGTCGGGCTCAGCCGCTTGAGCCTCGTCGGCGGCAGCCCCGCCTACGGCTTCGCCCTCGGCATCTGCGTCGGCGTGTCCGTCGGCCTCGAGCTCCTTTGCCTTGGCGGCCTTGTCCTCCTCGTCCTCATCGACTTCGGATCCTGCGCGCGAGGTGGCAGCCGAGGCGGGCAGGCTCTCCATCGGGTCGGGCTCGAGGAGGCTGGTGGCGCCACCCGTGGCGGCGGCGCGCTTCTTCATCGTGGCGATCATCGCCAGCTCCTGCTTGCGTTCGGCCGAGTCCTCGTCCTCGAGCTCCGAGAGCTCGGCATCGTCGTCCTCGGGCTCGGGCGTGATGTCGGAGCTGGGCGCCTCGCCGTCTTCGCCGGGCGCTCGTAGCTGTTGAACCCGAAGCTTCTTCTTGTCGCCCGCACCTTGCGCCGCTGTGTCGTCCCGGGCGGCGTTCTGGTGCTGGACTCCGGCAGAGGCGAGCGCGGCGAGGCCTTCGAGTCCCTCGACGGCGTTGGCCACCTCGGCGGCGTGGTCGGCGGCAGCAACCGGGGCGGCCCCTCCGGTGAGGGCGGCCAGAGCCTCGGCAGCCTCGTCCTCGCCGGCGGCGGCTGGCGGCCGCGGTCCACCTTGACCTGCGTCGGACCCTTCGTCTTCCCCATCGTCCTCGTCGTCGTCCTCCTCCTCCTCTTCGCCGTCTCCGTCGCCCTCGCCCTCGTCGTCGTCGTCGTCGCTGTGCTGGCCACGAGCCTTGCGCGGAGACGAGCGTGTGGACGCGACGCGGCGGCCAAGGCGGTCGGAGCGGCGCTCGCCGCCTTCCTCTTCGTCCCGGAACTCGCCCTCCTCGTCCTCGTCCTCCTCATCCTCGCCCTCGCCATCCGCATCCGCATCCGCGTCCGCATCTGCGTCAGCATCGACGGTCTGAGGCGCGCGCCGAGGCTGCTGCGACTCCTCCTCGGAGCCGAGGTCGTCGGAGAGCGAAGAAGCATCGTCGTCGTCGTCGTCGCCTGCGCCGTCCTCATCGTCGTCGTCGTCGTCGTCGTCGTCGTTGGGGTCGTCGTTCTGCTCGTCGTCGTCGGGCTCGTCGGTGAGGTCGCTCTCGGCGCTGAACTCGTCGCCCGTGTAGCCGCCCGTCTTCTGTGGCGAGCTCATGTTCGAGTTGAAGCCCTGCGTCGACGGGATGGCGGCCGACCCGGCCTGCGACGCCGGTTCCATCGTTTCCGCCTCGATAGCCTCCTGACCGTTGGCCTGGACCGAGGACATCGAGACGTCGGCGATATCGGCCGCATCCGTGCTGGCCATAGCTGCAGAGTCGAGCGTCGCCGGCTGCTCGACTGGCGCACCAGCTGCGGCCGCTGTGGATGGATCCAGGGCTGAGGCGTCCATCACGTCTGGGTCTGCCTCTGCGTCGGCGTCAGCGTCGCGGTCGTCGTCGTCGTCGTCGTCGTCGTCGTAGGGCAGAGGCTCGGTCTCGGCGTCGGAGCTGCCTTCTGCGTCCTGGTCCTGGGGATCTGCCAGGGATGGGTCGACCTGCTGAGGCTTGTCGGAAGCGGTCGAAGTGGCGGTGGAGGGGTCGGTGGGGCCAGATGGATCGGCAGTGATGGTCGCAGTGGTCGCCTCTGCAGCCGCTGGCTTGCTGCCCATGGTCAGCAGAGCCTCTTCTGAGCTCGGGTTGAGCTTGGTGGCCGAGGCGCGGTCGGCCAGGTCTGGGGACGTCTCTTGTGGCTGGTGAGCGGGCAGCAGCCAGAAGTCGGGGCTATACGGTGCGTGCTAGGGAGTATGGATGGCTGGATGGCACTCTGCCGAGTAGTGCTGCTGAAGGGGATTTCCTGATGGGAGCGTGCCGGTGCGACGTTACCCAGCCTTCTAGCAGATAGTCTAGTCCAGCAGCCGGTGCGCCGTTGCGGTTGGCTCGCACGCCGAGCTCCTAGGAGGGGTCGAGTTGGGGCGGATGGTGTGAACGGGGCGGTGTTGAAGGTGTCGACTCAGCAGGCTCGAGGAGATGGCATGGCTGGTAAGGCCGGATGTGGCCGTAGACGAACACGAAGGAGCGGTGGCGGTCGGGGTTGGAGAGTTGCTTGTGGTGTCGAAGCGGCTCGGTGGTCGCCCGCGGGGTGGGGCCGTGTGGCGGATGGCGGCTCTGAGGAGATGAATGGGGCGGTGTGGGTCGCCTGAGGCTGCGGGTGCGACGTGCGCGGCCGTGCGAAGCAAGCGAAAGCGGTGTGGCGATAGGAGATATCGATGCGTTGAAAAGTAGCGGGCGCCGAGCTGTAGTGAGGTATCGGGGGGATTGGGTCGAGAGAAGAGACAAGCGGAGGGCCAGGCCGGAGGGGAGCGGGGAGCGAGGAGCGAGGAGCGAGGAGCGAGGAGCGAGGAGCGAGGAGCCAGAGACGACGACGACTTCGATCCAAGCGCACCCTCCGTGGCTCGCCCGTCGGCCGGCCTCCAGAGAGAAAGAGAGAGAGAGAGGGCCCTGCCTGCCTGCCTGCCTGCCTGCCTGCCTGCCTGCCTGCCTGCCTCGCCCTCCCGCCTCGCCCGCCTCCCGTCGCCCGTCCCGG